TGAACAATACCAAGAGTAGCAGATGTAACTGGATCAGAAAAATCACCACCAGGTGGAGAAACTCTAAATTTAAAAGAAGAAAACGTCATTAGAAATGCTTATGGAAAATAACTTGTATATAAAAGCAATTTTTTGCAAGTCAATTTTAATGTAAATAACTTTAGAAATATGACCTTTGGAAAGAAAATCTTATACAAAAATCTTAAATAAAAACCAGTACTAAGTTGAAAATTAAGAATGACAACTATTAAACACCTTCTAGTTTGAGAAATGAGACAGATTTAATTATAATCTGTTTCACTATTCTAATCAGATGAAACAAGAAGGAAGGAAAAGGTCTGACAACAAAGTATGGCTTTATGTGGGGATCGTGAATCTTCACGTTGTTTTTATCATGATACAGTCTTATCTTAACATGTCTATAATTTTCTAAATTATTTCTATGATATCGTGACTTGAATATAATAATTCAGTCAAGTCAAATCTATAGAACCAGAACATGTAGAGATGACCTAAACATGTGCATTTTAAAGAGCTCCTTGGATGACTCGAGTGCAACCTTGCTTAAGAATCACTGCTCTCGGGCTTCCCTGGTGGCGTAGTGGTTGGGAGTCTGCCTGCCGATGCAGGGGGCACGGGTTTGTGCCCCGGTCTGGGGGGATCCCACATGCCGCGGAGCGGCTGGGCCCGTGAGCCATGGCTGCTGAGCCTGCGCGTCCGGAGCCTGTGCCCCGCAACGGGAGGGCCACAACAGTGAGAGGCCCGCGTACCGGAAAAAAAAAAAAAAAATCACTCCTCTCAGGGGGGCTAAATACTGTCTCTTTAAAATAAATAACCTTTTTTCTTATGAAAAGTACAGTTTTGATACTTACGCTCCTACAATGCTGACACTCCCTTCTCTCTCAGGATTTCCAAGACATTTCACTCTGCCAGCTCGCTCATAGAATGAGGCCAGACGGGCACCGAGATATGCAGGATATCCACTATCTGAAAAATGAAAAGAAATTTTAAAGAGAGGTTCTAAGCCAATCCCCAAATCCTAACAGTCTTGCTTATTTAATAAGCAATACAAAGACTTACCTGCAGGCATTTCAGCTAAGCGACCAGAGATTTCTCTAAGAGCCTCAGCCCATCTAGAGGTAGAGTCAGCCATCATACTGACGTGATAGCCCATGTCACGGAAATATTCTGACAGTGTAATTCCTAAATTGGGAAGAATATTACAAGTTATAATCCTTTAAAGTATAATCCTGACGTTTTCACTCTTAAGAAAAGTTTAAAGCAATAAGTTCCTAAGACTGCTAGCTGTTCATCATAATCTGTGCTGCTTCTTTTGGGCACACAGCTGAATTATATTGTCTAGCCTCCTCTGCATTTAGATGTGGCAAGTAACTGACCCCTATCTAATGGAATGTAGGAGTCACGCGTTCCACCATCAGGCAAGCCACACATCCCTCCATGCTACTTCTTCCTTCTGGCTTACTGCGAGGGCGAGAACTCCCAGGACCCACGGAAGATATGTGTCAAAATGAAAGAGCTCTTTCAGCCTGTGTCCCAGCCCAAAAATGACAGAATAATGAAGATTGCCCTGATCATTTGAAATAGATGTCTATTATATTGAGCAATTATATGTTTGGGTTTATCATAGCCTAGTATACATTTTTAAAAGTAGGAAAAGACTTTCCTCCCATTCACTGTTGAGATAATTAGACATAGGCATCAAAAAATCCTCAACTAATTAGATTGTTTGATTATTTTTCAAAGGTAACAAATGTTATTAACGTAATAATCTTAATTATCCAGATCATTCTGCTATGCAGATTGTGTCCTCTCCTGTAAAATCACATACAGTAAACCACTTAGAAGAAGGTAATATACAGAAAGAAGTCCTGGGTTCTACTTCCTATTCTGTCATTAATCTTAGCAAAATAACTTCATTTCCCAGTGTGGTTTCCTAATCTGTGAAAATGGAATAACTCTCACCCTATCTATCTATACATATCAGATGAAATGATTTCTATAAATACCCTCTGCAAAGTACAAAGTACTATACAACTCTAAGATATTAGAAATGTATATTTGTTGCTACATCATAAGCATCCCCAAATCTACTGCCCTAATTCCCTTATTTTACCAGTAAAGAAACAGATGCTTATATAAGTAAAACAAAATAGTTGCTGGAAAACTCAGAACTTTACTATTTATCATATTACATCCTTCAGAATAAAAAATACTGACTTAGGCTTCCAAAATATGATCCAACGAACAAAGTCTTTAAGAAATCCACTTATCATTATTAAGGCTTAAAAAACACAGTAATTATCACATATTTCAATCTGATGGTAGAATCAGATCCTCTCTTATGCAAGTATGCTATGTCTCTGTGATAACATTCACTAATGCCTGTGTATATATTTATTAAAAAGACTTGATAGAAGAGACAGATACACATGACTAAACCTCAAAGAAGTCTCATAGACCACTTTCATAGACCTAAAGATATCAGTGCCTACAAGAAAAAAAAAAAAAACCCTCAGACAAAATCAAAAGATAAGCAAACTAGGACAATATCTGCAACTCATAACAGATAAAAGACTGATTTCAAAGAACTTTCAATCCATATGATAAACAACTACTACCAATACAAAAATGGACAGAAGGCAGTTTTCAAATGGTTAATACACACAGAAAAGATGCTAGCTCACTGTAAGAAATACAGACCGAATAGGCATCTAATAAAGCAGGGACAGTAAAATGCTAATTATCAGATCTAGGTGTGGGGTACATGGGTATTCACTGTAATATTCTTTCAACTTTTCTGTATGATAATGATCATAAGAAAGTGTTGAAGAAATTAGCATTGGTGAGTATGTGAAGAAGCAGAATTCTTGTCCACTGTTATTCCTTTTGAAGAGCTATTAGAAGCTAAAATCTATATTAACAGTTATATTCTTAGCAATTTTACTTCTAAGAACTTACCTGACAAAAATACAAAGAAACATGCACATAAAACATACAAAGCCACAGTGTAAAAAACATGCTTAAGAATGTTTTATGGTGTGAAGTTTGTGGGAGCAAAAGAATTATCAATAATCCAAGTGCCCCCTAAAAGGATGCTGGTTAAATAAATTATGATATATCCATACAAAGGGATACTGTGCGGCCATTTAAAAGAAGTAGGTAGACTTCTTGTCCTAAAATAGTAGATGAGTATGTCACTTTCTCCTTCTTCTCATAAGAGTAACCACCAAACAAGGAGAACAAGAAATACAGAAACACAAACTCCATAGTCAAAAACTAGGGGCCATGTTTAGCTTCACAACAAAATAATGAGGAAAGCCAACTAAATGAGATGAAAAACAAACAAGGGGGTGGAAAGACACCAAGAATTCACCTGAGGATGCACAATTCAGATTAAGCTTTTGCAAAGAAGGTACATCCTGAAGGGCAAAACCAAGAATCCGTTGTTTGGAACACAGTAAAAGGGGTACAGGACTAGTGGCAGGGGTTCCTTGGACCCAGTTTGGCATCAAGGGGAAGTAGAGAGATGGGGACCAAAAAAAAAAGGAAGGCACTCCTTTTCAGTAAGTAAAAAGTGAATGAGGCAGGGTAGAAGAGAAAGAATTCATTGTAAATGGCCTTGTAGCTGCAGACTTTTGTTGGCAGGAAAGAAAATGTAAAATAACTTACACAACTCTATGCTACAACAAACTTCACAGATTACCAGGAAGAATTCCTGCTACCCTGGACCATAGTAACAACCATTCCCTCCCATCTCCTGCAAAGATGAGTAATAGTAATAATAAACATCAGCACAGGAACTAAACAAAAATAAAAGAAAAAAGAGACAGAAGGTACAACAATGAACCTGCCAAGAAACAAATGAAAACTGTGACCACAATTAATTAATAAAAGAAAATCTTAATATTGCATCCTACCACAAAATAAAAATCTCAAGGAATATGCACTCCTTTGTAAAAAGTGAATGAGGCAGGGTAGAAGAGAAAGAATTCATTGTAAATGGCCTTGTAGCTGCAGACTTTTGTTGGCAGGAAAGAAAATGTAAAATAACTTACACAACTCTATGCTACAACAAACTTCACAGATTACCAGGAAGAATTCCTGCTACCCTGGACCATAGTAACAACCATTCCCTCCCATCTCCTGCAAAGATGAGTAATAGTAATAATAAACATCAGCACAGGAACTAAACAAAAATAAAAGAAAAAAGAGACAGAAGGTACAACAATGAACCTGCCAAGAAACAAATGAAAACTGTGACCACAATTAATTAATAAAAGAAAATCTTAATATTGCATCCTACCACAAAATAAAAATCTCAAGGAATATACAGTAAGATCACAAAAGATGTTTCATGAGCCAGCAGAACTCAGCAAAGAGCTAGAAGAACATAAAGGCTTCATTGGAAGCAATACAAAGAATACACGTTGATTACCCTGCTAAAAAATGGATAACAGGCTAAATAAAAATTAGAGAGGAAATGATGCATATGGAAACAGCTAAAGGAGACACTATATGTTTAGCTTCAAGAAGATAACCATAATGGAAGAGAAAAAGTTTCAGAAACAATTCTCAAAAATTTTCCAAAATAAAAGACATATTCATAGATTGAAAAGGTACACTATGTCTCAGGAAAAAATTATCAGAACTATCAATACTGGGATATATCCTAATAAAGTTATAAGACTTCAAGGTTAGGACTTCCCTGGTGGCGCCGTGGTTAAGAATCCGCCTGCCAATGCAGGGGACACTGTTTTGAGCACTGGTCTGGGAAGATCCCACATGCCGCGGAGCAACTAAGCACATGTGCCAGAACTACTGAGCCTGAGCTCTAGAGCCTGCGAGCCACAACTACTGAACCCGTGTGCCACAAGTACTGAAGCCTGCGCACCTAGAGTCCGAGCTCCGAAACAAGAGAAGACACTGCAATGAGAAGCCCGTGCAACGCAATGAAGAGTAGCCCCCACTTGTGGCAACTAGAGAAAGCCCGTGCGCAGCAACAAAGACCCAACAATGAAGGTCTGACGCAGCCAAAAAATAAGTTAAAAAAAAAAAAAAAGAAGACTTCAAAGTTAAAGAGACATTCCTTTGGGTAAAAAGAAAAATCACCTATAAAAGGAAAAAAAGTAGGCCAGCGTCAGATCTCTCCCCAGCACTTAATGCTGAAATAAGAGTTCTCTAGGCAAGAAATACTGATCAAAAAATTTTATACTCTGCCAAACTGTTAAAATTTAAAGGCAGCTGAAAAAACCCAGACTTACAAAGAAACAAGAATTCAAATTTTGTCCAACCATGAAACAAATGGAAAAATTGTAGTCAACCGACTGCCAGTGGGCATGACTCCATTTTACTAGGTCTAAGGCTAATACAAATACGGATTTATGGTTATAGAACAGAATACGAACATTATAAATCCTGAAAATGTAGAAATCAAAGCACCAAAAGCTGGATGGAAGTAGGAGCAAAGATGGAAGATAATATATAAACATACTGATATTCAAAGTATTACAGTTCAAAGCTGATAATTCAAGTTATAGAGATACAGATATATTCAGAGATAGAGCAATGATAAAACATGTAATGGAAAAAAAAAACCAGTAGTAGCAGATACATCATTTTAAAGTCATCAAAAAGACTGTGGCAGCTCTATTAATGTCTTAAATTGGCATATTCTCAAGATATAATAATATGTGAAATATTAAAAAAAATATTCTAGGAACATGGTTGTGCGTATGTACTTTAGAATGAAAGAAAAGTTCTTTGGAAAAGAAAAAGTTTGGTGCTAGCTTTAAACTTAAGAACACATATGTTAATCACTTTTATTCCAATTCATATACTCACCAGTATAAATAGAGGCTTCTCTAGCAGCAACAGGCATATTAGAGGTATTGGCTACCAACGCTGTCCTCTTCATAATTGACTCTACCTTACCATCAACTTCCATCGTGAGCTAGAGGCAAACAATCTATTAGTGATCCCTAGAACATTTCAGTCCCCTTTTCACAACTTGTTTATATTTAATCCCTCTTATAATCTGTATTCCCAAAGCCATATTCCCATCACTCCAACCTCTTCCCTCTATCCCACTGTGCTGTAAAGAAAACAGCCAGTATTTCCATTTCATAAATGAAGCCCATTATTTTATGGAAAAAGGAATATTACTACAGTAACCTAGTAGATCATACAAAGGCTATGTAAAGTTCACACCTATAAATATTTTGCCTATTGTATCTTTCTCCCAATAACTGAAAACCACCAGACCACAAAAAGAAACTTTCAAGTGTTTCACTGAAAAATTCAAATTCCTCTCCTTGAGTATACAAACTGAATCACAGATATAATTAGAAAATTCCTTAAAAGATCCTTGACAAATGAGAGCATTGCTCCAGATCCAACACAAAGCTTTACTAATTGCCAACTAAAGGTGATTAGTGGTATTTTGTCTAGATTAGTATTGGAAGCTTTATAGATACAGACCTCTGGGAAGTCCCGGAGGACTTCAGACATCTCATTTCCTCTCTCACCACACCCTACATAAATGATCACATCACTGTTGGAATACTTGGATAGAGACTGCGATATCACCGTCTTTCCACAGCCAAAAGCCCCAGGGATTGCAGTAGTTCCTCCCTGTACACATCTATACAAATAAAACAAGCATGGATTACTTTATTCGCTAATACATACCAATAAATAAAGTAGGTAAGTGACACAGAAATACAAGTTAAAGAACGAAAGCACTTTATAATACTGTCATCTGTATCTCTATATATACTTACAAAGATAGATATACAGATAGATATATAACAATTGCTCCCCTAGTTTCCACCTATAGTAGTATATGTTATTTATTATAAATTAATCATTTCTATCATCTTTAATAGTGTAAAGTGAAAGTATATTCCATAAGGTAACTGGGAAAGAGGAATATGAAAATAAAATAGTACTAATGATATTCTGAATGCTTAAATAAATTAGTTTATGAAAGGACAATATAAGAATTAAAGCTGAAAGAAAAATATAAACACTTTGAAAGTTGTCTTCTGAGGTAAAAAATAAGATCTAAGAAATTCCTATCTTGTTACAGAGATTAATAAACGAAGACTTTTGTTAAGGTGTTAAGTCAATCCCCTTTTACCCATTCAATAACGATTTATGAGGTACTTCCAAGGTACTACAAATTATGCTTGGAGATGCTGGAGAGACAACAGCAGAGAAAATAGCCATGTTTCTGTATTCAAAGAGCTCACATTCCAGTGGAGTCAACTGGAGAGTCAGCTTGTGATTACAGTACCATTTAGCAACCACTTTCAAACTTTCCCTAAAAAGTGTCAGTGGAGAGTGAAATACCATTAAGGGCAGAGGGAAGTGAATGTCACAGGTGTGTGTGTGTGTGCGGGTGAGTGTGTGTGTCAGGCAGGAGTGTCTGGGCAGAAGAAATGAGACATAATGCTAAGGGAAATTCCTTAGTAATAGTGTGTTTTATCATAAAATTCACACAAACACTGCATCCTTAATAATAATAACAGACTTTTCTCATATGAAACTAATACACATTAAAATGTTTTCTCCTTCAAACCTTTCAGTGACTCTGATACACTAAGAAGGCATGTCAATTCAGCCTATGGCTTTGTATACGTCTTTCAAATCACCTTTAAGCCAGGGTGGGGAGGCAAGGCTGGGTGTGCCCCACTTTAGAAGTTCAACAATCCAATGTGAAAAGTGCTATCATAGAGACCATCCAAGGTTTGTGGGAGTACACAGGAAGGAGTACAAAGTCTGACACTGGATGGGAGTGGGATTAGGAAATTCTTTCCAAAAGAAGCTAAGACCTGAAAGAAAATAGAAATTAGCCAGATACAGGGAAATAACATTCCACATAGAGGGAACAGAATGCCCAAAGGTCCAGGGGCAAGAGGGAGCATTGCTTGAAGAATTAAGTCCTTCGTTAAGCCTGGAAGATGGTGTATAAGGAAGCAGTTGGGCAGGCAAGTGGCTGAGACAATACTGGAAGGTAAGCAATAGCGAGATCATGGGTGGCTCTGTAAGGAATTAAGGAGTGTTTGTCTTGAGAGCAATAAAGAGCTCTGAAGGGTTTCAAGCAAAATTGTGCAGGATCACATATGTGTTTTAGTTGGATCACTATGTAATATGGACAACCACTTGGAGAGAAGGCAAAACTGAAGATGGGAAGTCTGATTAAATGAGTTTATTACAGGAATTAGGGTAAGATCCTTAATTATAGTCATGGAGTAGAGATGACAGATGCAGATAAAAAATATTTAGGGAATAGACTAACAGCATTAGTTCACTAATTAGATGTGGGAGGGTAAAAATGATACTTGAGAGAAGTCATAGATTTTAGATTAGGCATTCACTGGATGTATGATAATGACATTGGTTGAGAGAGGCAGCAAAGTTTCAAGGAAAGGAGTGGTGATTAAGATGATGATTTTAGTTTTAAACATACTGATTTTGAGGCACCTATAAGATATTCAAAAGGAGAGGTATAATCAGAAGTGGATGTATGAGTCTGGAACTCAGAAGAGATCTGGGATGAAGATACAGGTTTAGAAATCATCATATATAGATGAACATTTAAGTCTCGAGAGAGAATGAAGTCATCCACAGAGGGTAAGACGTATAATGAGGAAAGAAAAGGGAAAACCTCTAAGAAATATCAAAATTAAGGGAGAAGGAACCTGCAATGGAGAATAAGCAATAGCTTCTTGTAGACAGAAGCTAACTGGAAAAGCAAAGAAAGAGGGTGTTTCAAGGAGGAAGGAGTAGAAAGCAATATCCAATATCCAAAGTTGTAGGAATTAAGAAAACACTAAAACGTACTTATTGAATTGGGAGTGACTGATGACGTTAGTGAGAGTAGTTTCGGTTGAGGGGTGGCACCACGGGCAGAGCAGTACAGTGAATTAGAGTAGGAAAAGTGGAGACAACTAATTTACTTTTTTAAAGAGGTTTGGCTGTGAAGATAGGGAGAAAAGTAGTGGAAGGTAGAAAGGGGAAAAGGGTCGAAGGTAGATTTCTTCTCATTAGATGGGAGATAAAGAGAATATCACTTAATGGGAGGTCTTTGAGGAAACATGAGGTGGGATAAACTCCAGAAAAAGGAGAGAAGTAAGGGATGGATGGGAATGTTCGTTAACTGATGGAGTTCCAAATCTATGGCCTCTCATTTCTCTGTGAAGGATCTAGCATGATCATTTGTTGAGAATGAAGGAGAAAGAAGACTGGAGTTGAAGCTCTGAGGCAGGTGGAGAGGTTTGAAATAGTCACTGAGGAGAGCAGGAGAATGATAATTAGGGAAATGCTGAACGACTGTGCCACAGTGGTGAGATACCAACTTGCACTTATTTATTTTTCTCAGCAGCTTGTGTGTAGATTTGGGAGAAGGAGAAAGCAGGACTGATTCACAGTTGATATTTCACCAGGTGGACGTGACAGAAGACAAAGGAAGCAAGAAAATTTAATATACTGACAGATGTTAGTAAAAGTGATAGACTATTAAACTTAAACTGGATAGTGAAGGATATGGAAACAGGAGGTACTGACTAAATAAGAAGAGTCAAAGTACTGAAGATCTTATGAGAGAGGAATAGTGAGAACAACGCACAGAGCAGGTTTAAAGGTAAGAGGCTGAAGAGTAAGTGAGACATACATGGGTTGGTGATCAGAAGTTGAAAGAATTACTACATCACTGCTTCAGTCTTTTCTGTGAATTAAATGATGAAGTTATTTATTAAAAGTAAAGCAGGGTATGGTGATGCCTAAGATTTAAAGAGAAAGGAGGTTTTTAAGCAGGTGATGAAGAAAATGGCAGAGAGCAGACTACAAAATAAGAAAGATTGCTGGGTAGCATAGAGAACCCAGTTGATGTTAGAAGTCATCAATTTATAGTGACACCAATCTACTAATTCTAGGATAACTTAAGAAAAATAGTTATATTATTTTGGCACAGATTTCCTTCTGGAAATTTCATTTTTTCAGAAAGTTTTAGAAATAATGCTTTCCTTTTGCAACTGTGAAAAAATAAATTTTCTTCAACAGTTTGATTCTCTAAATAAGCAATGGTAAAATATATTTCTCTAGATAAAATATATTATAGGATTAGCACATAAAATCTTTATCTATAAAGAAGTGAAACAATAAGCACATATAATAACTGAGGGAAAACCACAGGACACAAATCAAACTTACGGAAAAAGGGCATCAAGGACTCTCTGGCCAGTCAACAGAGGATGATTAGCTGGCAACTTCTCAGTGACAGGTCGAACCTGACGTACAGGCCATACTTGGACCATGCTGAACTTCTCCTTTATACCTTCAAATTCAAGCTCCAACACAACATCCTACAAAAATACAGCAGGACTTTACATTATAAACATTTCTTCCTCTAAAATCAAAGTAACGCCAGATTTCTCTTGGGGGTTTAGGGAGGTGGTATGTGGAAGTGGGGAGGGAGATTTATACTTTTTTATTGTAAATCTTTACATACTGTTCTAATTTTTTTTAAACGAGGTGCATTATTACTATTTTAATGATCTTTTAAAAAAGCTTAGAAGTTTTGGAGAAAGGAGTATCTCAAGTAATAGAGGGATAGTTAAATAAATTACATGAATATGCATAGGAAAAATTCTTGAAGGGTACAGAAGATACTCCTGGGACTGAGGGAGGGAAGAAATGAAAGCTTTCATAATTTATTTTCCATTCTTTATTTTGCTTACTTTATTATAATGCTCTTACACTGCTTTAATGAAAAATACTAATCTATTAAGAACCCTAACATATTTAATAAAGTTAAATATTTTAAATTATTTACAAAAGCAAAAAGATAATGAGTAATACTCTAACATTTGTGAACACTGAGATGGTTTTAACTGTTCACAAACAATCTCAAAGTCCACAGACCTATAGAAATCTGTAATCTTGTTGATGCATGAATCTGAATTGTCTACTTCAGGGTTTTCTTTCAAGTATAGGTGAGTCTCTAAGCTAGTGAGTAAGGTTAGCTGACTGCCCAGAATCCCAATTTAATTCTTTTGCTCTGTATATGTTGTAGAGCACAGACTGATTCTTGTGAAATGATTAGAAAATTATTATCTTTTATCATATTTTATTGGGAAAAAATTATATGCTATAATGATCTTCTCAATAAAGCTATCTTCATACCCACAAAGATTATCATGCATCTACTGTATTTGGTATGATGTGACTATCAATAACATTAAAGGACTAAGTTTTACGTGGCTCACCCAGAGTAAGAACTTATATAATCCATTCTACAATTCATTATGTGAATAGAGAATGACAAAAAGATCAAAGTCTATTCTATGCCTAAAGAATCAGAGGTTTAAATAATGTAGCATAAGATAAGAAGGTAGGAAAATACTATACTAGCTATTTCTCTTCAAAAAGAAATAATATATTTTGCTTTTTGTATTCCCAAGCTCAAATTTTAAAGAAAAAAATCTTAAACAAAAAAATAATTATGGGAGTAACTTAAAACATACACATTAAATATGAATTCTGTAACTATTCAGAGTACTAAAACTGGGCAACTATCACATATAAGGGGGGCCATGCTTGTGAGATAAAGTTTATATGATACTTACAGAGGTATCGTAATTTCCAGGTGGAGCAATGTAAGTGACAGTTCCTCTGTTTCGTGGGGGCAACATGATTTTGTGTTTGATGAGTGAGTTCTCGTTGACAATTCCATAAATATCTCCACCAGTGATGTGACTACCAACCTAGAGAACAAATGCACTTGTTTAATGTTCAAATAAATGTCAAACCATTTAATGTTCAATAAACGTCAAGCAGACTCACCCTTGCTATTATTTAAATCATTTGCTTCACTTATCAATAGAACACATTTGTTCTATAATCCTTCTAGTGGAGCTAAAAAAAAGATGTAAACTGTGCTTCTGTGGTCTATTTTTATTTTGACTAAGAGTACAAAATAGTTCAGTAAACACTCTTCACATTCTTTCACCAGTTTTAGAAATTTAGGTTACAAAGACGTACCCGTAGGTTTTTGCAAGGTGTGAAATCCCATTTGACATCTCTGCTAAGAGCAGACACATTTACTCCTCTGGGAATGTAAATACTTTGAGTCTGACTGCTGATATCCGACAAAGGTCTTTGAATACCATCAAAAATTGCTCCCATAATGCCAGGACCAAGCTCTACTGAGAGGGGTTTACCAGTGCGGAGTACAGGATCTCCAACAGACACACCAGCTGGAAATGGCAGTTGAGAAAAACTCACCATGAAAGATTAGAGATACTATAAAAAGGAAATACCACAGTTTAACAGGAAATGATACATAAGGTGCTAAATCTGCAATTCTCAAACTTTTAGTCCACAGCATCCTTAGTGTTTCAGTAACTTTTTCATAGTGACCTACAACAAAAGATATATATATATATATATATATATATATATATATAATTCCATCTATTAAATAATTATGCCCAAACATCTTAATATATGTGTATGTCCTAACAACTAAGTGGTACTTTGAAAAATATACATAAATTGAAAAAATAAAGAACATTTTAATTTCATTATAAAATAATCTCAATTCTTACAAATGGGATTTATGTGCCTGTTGGGTATTCTACAATTTCCAAACCTTGGAGTCAGATTGAATACTCATCCCACATCATTTTTGTATGACACTTGGTTTTTAGCTTAGCAATTGCCAAAACTCAGCTTCACAAAGATATGATATCATCGACAAGAATATAGTACAGTCAAATAACAAAAGTGTTTATTATCTCAAGCTATACTAGTTCTCATGGTGTCTGACAAAATGTCTAATATTCTCGTGTTTACCGTAAAACCTTAAAATATCCTGGGGCACCCACATGAGTTTGCTGCAGCTGCCCAGAGTGCCCTGGGGCACAGTTTGGGAAACACAGGCTTAAAAATAGAAGCAAAAGCCTCTCCATCATACTTTGTTTCAACTATACTGGTGAGGAATATCAGTTCCCTAAAAAGGATATTAGGACCTGGACAAAAACTTAAACTCTTAAGACTAAGAAACAACCAAAAAAAATCTTTAGACTTAACAATCATTAAGGGATTTATTAATAAATGTTGGTATATTCATACGCTGGAATTCTACGTAGACGTAAAAAAGACTAGGCACTTCTACGAATTTTTCAAAAAAGATCTCCAAAATATATTTTCATTTCCAATATTTGATTATGAAATATTTCAAACCTACAGCAAAGCTGAAAGAATTTTACAGTGATCTACCATAAAAACTGTACTATATTTATCACATATTTATCCATCTTCCACCATACATATATTTTTAAGTGAAAAAAAAAAGGTGCAAAACAGTACATATAATATGCTATCTTTTGGGGAAAAAAGGAAATAAAAATAAAAATATATATTTATATTGGCTCATATAACAAACTAGAAGGATACAAAATAAATGGAACTAACAAAATGGGCTGCATGAATGCATGTCTGTTTTGAAAATTGGCCAAATACAGGATAACAAAGGTAGAGCGGGTTCTCACTATACACATGGTCATTTGTTTATTTTAAATCTTCAAGCCATGTAGAAGACTAAATAAAAGATAAACCTAACAATAGAAAAAAATCCTTTTGATTAGTGATGATTTCATAGCTATGAAGACTTAATTTTATTAAAAATTTCAAATTAAAATTTTTAATTTTTATTAAAAATTTTCAAATTTTGTTTAGAATTAGCACTCCAATATTGACAGAGAGAACAGGTACCACAAGCATATATTTTAGTATGGCAAAAAAGCTGTACCAAATAAAACTTAATTAAGTAGCCAAACAAGTAATGCTGATCTTGAGAATAAGAGCAATGAAATATTAAGAGCAATGAAAGGTCAGGAGATAATACTAATTTCTTAAAATAAGAGCACTAATTCTTAGTACCTTTCTTCAAAAAACTCCTATATATCAGGTTTCTTCAAAACACCAATATTCCACGTTTCTGATACCATTGGTGCTGCTTCTACCTTTGCCATAAATCTTTCAAATCTGATTTATAGAAAATGGCTAGAAATTGAACCAAAAAGGATACAGGTTTCTTCATACACCTGGATAGTGGCCATGTCACCCTCCAATCGGATAATCTCTCCAACCAACTCACTGTGGCCCACTCGCACCAGTTCATACATGGCTGCACCTGCCATGTCACAAGCTGTAACCACTGAAAAGAACAAATGAGTATTAAGATAATTAAAACATCCAATAAATCCTATAATACACTTCTCTCATATATTCATAGGAAAAATAAAATACCTACTATGGAATACAATATCTCATAAAAAGACAGTTTTAAAAAATTATACTTGATTTAAAATACTGTGTTAGCCGCAGAAATACAAAGCATCCTAAGAGACTACTACAAGCAACTCTATGCCAATAAAATGGACAACCTGGAAGAAATGTTAGAAAGGTATAACCTTCCATGACTGAACCAGGAAGAAACAGAAAATATGAACAGACCAATCACAAGTAATGAAATTGAAACTGTGATTAAAAATCTTCCAACAAACAAAAGTCCAGGACAGATGGCTTCGCAGGTGAATGCAACCAAACATTTAGAGAAGAGCTAACACCCATCCTTCTCAAACTCTTTCAAAAAAGTGCAGAGGAAGGAACACTCCCTAACTCATTCTATGAGGCCACCATCACCCCGATACCAAAACCAGACAAAGATACTACAAAAAAAGAAAATTACAGGCCAATATCACTGATGAATATAGATGCAAAATCCTCAACAAAATACTAGCAAACAGAATCCAACAACACATTAAAAGGATTACACCATGATCAAGTGGGATTTATCCCAGGGATGTAAGGATTCTTCAATATATGCAAATCAATCAAGGTGATACACCATAGTAAAAAACTGAAGAATAAAAACCATATGATCATCTCAATAGATGCAGAAAAAGCTTCTGACAAAATTCAATACCTATTCATGATAAAAACTCTCCAGAAAGTGGGCATAGAGGGAACCTAACTCAACATAATAAAGGCCATATAGGACAAACCCACAGCAAACATCATTCTCAATGGTGAAAAACTGAAAGCATTTCCTCTAAGATCAGGAACAAGACAAGGATGTCCACTCTCACCACCATTATTCAACACAGTTTTGGAAGTCCTAGCCACGGCAATCAGAGAAGAAAAAGAAATAAAAGGAATACAAATCGGAAAAGAAGAAGTAAAACTGTCACTGTTTGCAGGTGACATGATACTATACATAGTGAATCCTAAAGATGCCATCAGCAAACTACTAGAGCTAATCAATTAATTTGGTAAAGTTGCAGGATGCAAAATTAATACACAGAAATCTCTTGCATTCCTATACACTAACAACAAAAGATCAGAAAGAGAAATTAAGGAAACAATCCCATTCACCACTGCAACAAAAAGAATAAAATACCTAGGAATAAACCTACCTAAGGAGGCAAAAGACCTGTATGCAGAAAACTATAAGATACTGATGAAAGAAATCAAACATGACCCAAACAGATGGAGCGATATACCACGTCCTTGGATTGGAAAAATCAATCTTGTGAAAATATCTATATTGCCCAAAGCAATCTACGGATTCAATGCAATCCCTATCAAATTACCAGTGGTATTTTTTACAGAACTAGAACAAAAAATCTTAAAATTGGTATGGAGGCCCTGAATAGCCAAAGCAGTCTTGAGGGAAAAAAACGGAGCTGGAGGAATAAGACTCCCTGACATCAGACTATACTACAAAGCTACAGTAATCAAGACAATATGGTGCTGGCACAAAAACAGAAATATGGAACAGGATAGAAAGCCCAGAGATAAACCCATGCACCTATGGTCAACTAATCTATGACAAAGGAGGCAAGGATATACAATGGAGAAAAGACAGTCTCTTCAATAAGTGGTGCTGGGAAAACTGGACAGCTACATGTAAAAGAATAAAATTAGAACACTCCCTAACACCATAGACAAAAATAAACTCAAAGTGGATTAGAGACCTAAATGTAAGACCAGACACTATAAAACTCTTGGAGGAAAACATAGGAAGACCATTCTTTGACATAAATCACAGCAAGATCTTTTTTGATCCACCTCCTAGCGTAATGGAAATAAAAACAAAAATAAACAAATGGGACCTAATGAAACATAAAAGCTTTTGCAAAGCAAAGGAAACCATAAACAAGATGAAAAGACCACCCTCAAAATGGGAGAAAATATTTGCAAACGAAACAATGGACAAAGGATTAATCTCCAAGATATATGAACAGCTTATGCAGCTCAATATTAAAAAAACAAACAACCCAATCAAAAAATGGGCAGAAGACCTAAATAGACATTTCTCCAAAGAAGACATATAGATGGCCAAGAAGCACATGGAAAGCTGCTCAACATCACTAATTATCAGAGAAATTCAAATGAAAACTACAATGAGGTATCACCTCACACCAGTCAGAATGGGCATCATCAGAAAATCTACAAACAACAAATGCTGGAGAGGGTGTGGAGAAAAGGGAAGCCTCTTGCACTGTTGGTGGGAATGTCAATTGATACAGCCACTATGCAGAACAGTATGGAGGTTCCTTAAAAAACTAAAAATAGAATTACCATATGACCCTGCAATCCCACTACTAGGCAAATACCCAGAGAAAACCATAATTCAAAAAGACACATGCACCCCAATGTTCACTGTAGCACTATTTACAATAGCCAGGTCATGGAAGCAACCTAAATGCCCATAGACAGATGAGTGGATAAAGAAGATATGGTACATATATACAATGGAATATTACTCAGCCCTAAAAAGGAATGAAATTAGGTCATTTGTAGAGACGTGGATGGATCTAGAGGCTGTCATACAGAGTGAAGTAAGTCAGAAAGAGAAAAACAAATATCATATATTAACGCATTTATGTGGAACCTAGAAAAATGGTACAGATGAACCGGACTGCAGGGCAGAAATAGAGACACAGATGTAGAAGACAAATGTATGGACACCAAGGGGCTAAAGTGGGGAGTGTGGGGTGGAGGTGGTGGTGGGATGAATTGGGAGATTGGGATTGACATGTATACACTGATGTGTATAAAATGTATGACTAATAAGAACCTGCTGTATAAAAAAATAAATAAAATAACATGCGAAAATTCAAAAAAGTATATAAAAAAATAAAATACTGTGTTAGTTTCAGGTGTACAGCAAATGATTCAGTTATATACATTTTTTTCAGATTATTTTCCATTTATAGATTATTACAATATATGGAATATAATTCCCTGTGCTATACAGTAAATCCTTGTTGCTTTTCTATTTCATGCACAATAGTTTGTATCTGTTAATCCCATACTCCTAATTTTTCCCCTCCTGCTTCCCTCTCCCTTTTGGTAACCACAAATTTGTTTTCTATGTCTGTGAGTCTGTTACTGTTTCATATACAGATTTATTTGTATTATTTTTTAGACTCCACATATAAGTGATATCATACAATATTTGTCTTTGACTTACTTCACTAAGTATAATATTCTCTAGGTTCATCCATGTTGCTGCAAATGGCAATATTTCATTCTTTTTATGGCTGAGTAATATTCCATTGTATATATATACCATATCTTCTTAAGCCAATCATCTGTTGATGGGTACTTAGTTTGCTTCTATGTTTTGCCTACTGTAAATAGTGATGCTATGAACATTGGGGTAGATACATCTTTCGAATTAAGAGTTTTCCTCTTTGCTGGACATATACCCAGAAGTAGGACTGCTGAATCATATGGTAGCTCTATTTTCAGTTTCTTAAGGAACATCCATATTGCTTTCCATAGTAGCTACACCAATTTACATTCCCACCAACAGTGTAGGAGGGTTCGCTTTTCTCCACATCCTCTTCAGCATTTATTATTTGCAGACTTTTTTTTTTTTTTTTTTCCTTGCGTTATGCGGGCCTCTCACTGTTGTGGCCTCTCCCATTTGCGGAGCACAGGCTCCGGACGCGCAGGCTCAGTGGCCATGGCTCACGGGCCCAGCCGCTCCGCGGCACGTGGGATCCTCCCGAAACGGGGCACGAACCCGCGTCTCCTGCATCGGCAGGCGGACCCTCAAGCACTGCGCCACCAGGGAAGCCCTATTTGCAGACTTTTTTGATGACAGCCATTCTAACTGCTTTGGGAAGATACCTCACTGTGGTTTTGATCTGCATTTCTCTAATAGTTAGTGATGTTGAACATCTTTTTATATGCCTGTTGGTCACCTGTGTGCCTTCTTTGGTAAAATGTCTATTTAGGTCTTCTGCCCATTTTTTGATTGGGTTGTTTGTTTTTTCGATATTGAGTTGCATGAGCTGTTTGTATATTTTGGATATTAACCCTTTGAAAGTCACATCATCTGCAAATATTTTCTTCCATTCCATATGTTGTCTTTTCGTTTTGTTGATCAAAAGACACATTTTTAGGGACTTCTCTGGTGGCACAGTGTTTAAGAACCCGCCTGCCAATGCAGGGGACACAGGTTCGATCCCTGATCTGGGAAGATCCCACATGCCATGAGGCAACTAAGCCCGTGCGCCACAACTACTGAGCCTGACCTCTAGAGCCCACGTGCTGCAACTACTGAAGCCTGTGCGCCTAGAGCCCGTGCTCTGCACCAGGAGAAGCCACTGCAATGAGAAGCCTGTGCACCACAACAAAGAGTAGCCCCCGCTCGCTGCAACTAGAGGAAGCCCGCACGCAGCAACGAAGACCCAAAAAAAAAAAAAAAAAAAAAAAGACATTTTTAGCATATGACATAGTTGGGGCAAACAATAAAATCTGTTAGGCTAAAGATTACTTATTTACATAATATACATGAAAACTATATTCATTTTGAAGTTCTATATGACAAACTCTTACCTAGTAGCATTGAGGCAAGTTTTGATCAACCTAGGTTGCTATAATATATGGAATGATGGGTTTTGGAACAATAGTAATAAAAAAACCTTTAAAACTAAAATGAGAACAAGAGCTTTAGCTAGTTGCATGATAGAATGCCACACAATTATCAGTTTGCTGTGTTGTCACCATCACTTTGAGAAATATTATATAAAACAACATCTTTACTTTCTAACACTTTATACCAGTGGTTCTTAAAACTCTTCTGGAACAAAGACTCTTGATAAACTAATGACAGATCTACCTGGAAAACCTCCCATTTGCATCAAAATTTTTTTTCATATCCCATAGGATGTTTATAATCAGTCACCACCACTGGGTGAAATCCTAATTAAAAATCCCTATTTCTTATAAATACTGAACTAGAATTTATACTTATTTTGGTTTATTTATTTGTTTGTTTGTTTATGGCTGAGTTGTGTCTTCATTGCTGTGCACGGGCTTTCTCTAGTTGCGGTGAGCAGGGGCTACTCTTCGTTGCGGTGCGCAGGCTTCTCATTGCAGTGGCTTGTCTTTGTTGCAGAGCACAGGCTCTAGGGCATGCAGGCTTCAGTAGTTGTGGCACACGGGCTCAGCAGTTGTGGCTCGTGGGCTCTGGGGCGCAGGCTCAGTAGTTGTGGCGCATGGGCTTAGTTGCTTCACAGCATGTGGGATCTTCCGGGACCAGGGATGGAACCTGTGTCCCCTGTATTGGCAGGCGCATTTTTAACCACTGCACCACCAGGAAAGTCCTGATCATGTTGTCTAGTAAGCAAAAATTACTTTTCTGGAAGGAGGGGAATGTTGTACATTTTCAGATATGTAGAAATAAGTCTTTTTTTTTTAATTAAGGAAACCACTTCTACGACTGTCATGAAGCCCAGGCTGAGTTAACAGTGACAAGTTATGGAAGTACCAACACCCCACTCTGGACTTTCTGGTTATAACCACTGTCTTCTCTCTCTAACCTCAACCTCTCTACATCTACCTCTCTCTGTCTCTCTACCAGACTCATGAGGCCTCAATCCCTGCCCTCCTATTCCTGGAAGATGACAAAGCCAGCTATGTAAGAGGCCTTTTCAGGAGAAGACGTCTTCTGTCTTCCCAGAAGACAAAGCCTCTACTATGCTTTATGAGGCGGATAGCAACCCCAAACCACAGACAGGTTGGGACTTGCGCAGGCCTCAATGGAATAAGTCTATTTTAATATTTAGTCTTCTGATACAATTAATTAGAACTATCAATTAGGTAATATTCGAGTGAAAACTATTAAGGTGTTAATATTTATTTAACATTGAACAATGGAAATTTATTAATTTTTAAAATACTTACCTCTGAACCTATATATAAGAATAGTTAAGATGCACCAAAATACCAGAGACCACTAAAGTTTGAAATCATATTTCATAAACAAAAGTATGCCATTTTTCTACTACCTCATTAAGTACTTAAAAATTATAAATAGGTTCCAAGAGCAGTTAACTACAAGTTTCAGAAAAATATTTTTACCTAAACTCTTTTGATAGTGTTCTTTTGCCTTTTCCCTAAGAGTTCTTGTGTATAGCCTTGTCTTTCCTAAAGAACTTACGATCCTCAAGGGGAAAAACTGTTCCTCTGAATGGCAAAAGAGATTGAAAACAGTGAAATATATTATCTGCTAATAAGTTCAAGCTCAAACACCAATTTCTAAGAGGTAGAAGCTTCTTAGGGAGAAATAGGCACAGTGACTGACAGTGTTTTCTTTGCATTAACACCAAAAAAGGGTCATCACCTCTTCTGTGATTAGAACAAGAAAAAGACTACAACATGACTTTGTAAAAAGATATAAGGAAAAATGAATTTCCATGGCACTAAAGATACAAATCAATGAGCAGCTTTACCTATGGAGACTATGAACCACATTTTGCAATAGAAGTGTGGGATAATAAAATGAACACTAGAACAAAATTTATTATTTAAAATGCAGTACCCCAAGTGTGGGCAGAACAAACATAAACTGCTTTCCATTCTCATTATCATGTCATAAGACTATTTTCCTACAGGTAGCTAGTTATGTGATATCTGAATAACCATTCAGAAGGATTTATACATGCAAAGAGCCAAGGTTGATATTTCTGAGAAATGCTCTGAAAGCAATTATTAAAATTCAAATCCAATCAACAGACATCTAGGTATCACATACTAAAACCTATAAACTTTATAGTTTTTTAACCTCACGCTTAACAAAAAAATTAAGACATATAACACCAACTATACATTTATATAATAAACAGGATATCACAAATTAGTACCTCAATAATTATCAAATTTAGATAATAAATGTTACAGTAGCCCTTATGATGGAGGTATTACCTCAGTCTTACAGCAGCTATGAATTCTTTTAAAGACAGAATTTATGCAGGTGAACAGAAACTTGTGTATTTCTGCCTAAAACATCTTGAAAAGACATTAATTGATGTTAGGAATTTTTACTATTGAGATTATTATGTATTACTTACCAGGTCCTGACACCCCATGCACAAAACCAAATGTGCTTTCTTTATCTTCATCACGTATTTTGGGTAGCTTGGAGAAATCCATCATGTTAACTTACCTATGGTAAAAAAAAAAAAAAAAAAAAAAGAATTAAGTTATAATTACAAACTTTAAAGCAAAAGAACCAATATAGGTAGTGAACTTTGGTGTATTCTTGAGTATTACCACTTCTTCAAAGTAAAATATAAAATTCTTAAGATTTGGTTAAAAGTACCTCATTCTTGGATAGTTTACAGTTATTAAAACTCAGAATTATATATCCGTATGCAAGACATTCAATAGAAAATACCCCATGGAATTTAAGAGACTGTGAATTCTTTCCAACCTCTTATCTAGCCTGACGACATCTTGCCCCTCCCATTATTTCTCCGACCTCCTCTCTAACTACTCTTCCCCTTAATCAGGCTGCATAAACACTGAATTCTTTGCCATTACTCAAAGCACATACACATTCTGCCTCAGGGTCTTTGTACATGTTGTTCCCCCTGTCTGGAGTACTCTTCTGCCAGATGTCAGCTTCTATATACCTCCTTCAGGTCTTTCCTCAAATGTCCCCTTCTCTGAGAGGCTTCTCTGCCTATCTGCCCACCTATTTAAAATACCTCCCCTCCTTCCCTGCTTTATTTTTTTATCATCTAACAAGTTATATCTTACATTAAAAAAATGTTTAAATGTAAAATCTACCTATAAAATATTTCTGGGATCATTTTTCCCTTTTTTCTTTTTTTAGCAGAACACAGAATAGTGTAAGAAATTTAGTTCAACTTCTTTACTTTAGAGATGTGCAATCTGAAAAACCCAAACAATGAACTATTCAAGTCCAAATAGAAAACTGGTTACAGATCCCAAAGTAGAAAGTTTCTATGTAACTGCTGGTCTAACTTATTACTGACAATTTAATAAAGAAGATAAAATATATGTACATTTAAAAAGCTAAATAATGTCTCCAAACAACCATAAAGTAAAGGTCACAGATCAATATGTAATAAAGTATCAAATAATACACACTTATTTACTAAAAGTTCAAAGATTAGAATGTTTGGGGAAGCCATCTTGAAGGTCAGGTAGAATTAGCATAGGAAAAGGGGGAGAGCAAACGGCATTTCAGGGGGGGAAATAATGAGAACAAAAGAAGGGAAATAAAAATTTCAGGAACAGTTAACAGCCTGACTGGAATAAAAGGTTTATGTTATGGCAACAGTGAGAAATAAGGATTAGAGAGACTAATTTGTGGGTCTTGAAATGAATGCCTAGTGGACTTTATCCTAGAGGGAGAACTGTTATGACAAGAATGATGTTTAACCAATCTAATGTTAAGTAGGGGAAGGGATGCAGGCATGAAGAGAAGTTGAAAAGCTCCGGAAATAGTTATGGGGTGAGTGTCAATATGTTACCAGAGTTGTCACCAGATCCTTGCTCAAAACCCACCAACCCCTCCTTGGAATAGGAACTATCATATATCTTTAACCACAGGGTCTGGACACAAAGAAAGGAAGCTATAGGAAGAGAAAAACAAAAACCGGATAGAACCAGCTGAAACCAAGATGGCGATGAATCTTAACTCCGAGAGACCCCGAGTCTCTTTCTACACTGATTTTACTACATTAGTGTACTAAATGACACACCTACTGGCTGCCGTGACTAGAAGTCAGACCAAAAAAGGACAGAAAAGTGGTGGCATCCCATTTCCAGGAAAGCCTGCCTCTTTTCCAGAAAACTAATGCATATGCATCCCCATCATTAGTCTCACTCCTTCCCCCCACTGTCTTTATTCCTTAAAATCAAATCCGTCTTGCCATTAAGGCGAGAGCTTGATTTGTGAACTAAGTTCCCACTTATCCATTCTCTGGCCATTGAATAAAGCTTCTGTTGCTTCAATTTCTGCTTTGGTTTCATTTTTTGGCTGCTGGAACCCAAATGGAAAAAAACCTTCTCTGTGGAGGCAAAGGGCCTCAGTGGGCTAGGGCCCGAGCAGGGGTCCATACAACCTAACTGGTAACAAATGGACTCAATTTATTAAATGTTTACTGAGCTCCTACCAAGGAAAAGGTACTGTGTTAAACTTAGGGAATAAAGACTATGAATAAAAGGAGATTTCACTGGTTTTAAACAACTGTACCATAAAACAAAATTACGTTAAGTGTTCAAAATGACAACACATTGGGAGCAAAGGAGAAATTGATTCAGATGTGGGAAAAGTGTAAAGCAATGGGGATGAGTTAGGGGAACAGGTAAGAACTGGAAAGTAAGTTTCAAGGCTGAGTTGAGTCCAGATAGAAAGAATACAGAAAAAGAGGAAAATCAAACCCTGAGGCTTAGGTATTAATTCAGGCAGGGTACAGTGGTGTTTTTCAGTCTTTCTGGAGTCATTGAAGGATGGCTACAGAACCCTACACTCCTTGGAATACAATTTGTAATCCATTAACCAAGGTATCAAAGAATTCGGGAGGGGCGTGTAACAATAAAGTCATTAACAGTGGAATTCTGGTTTGATACACTTAGTGCCTTCAGAAGGGGGACGGTGTACAGGGATAACAGGGAAGAATTAAAGAGTGATTAAAGAAACAAGCAAGGGTAAAAACAAAGATCAAAACCATATGGCGATTCACTTTGTTATACAGCAGAAACTAACACAACATTGTAAAGCAATTATACTCCAATAAAGATGTTAAAAAACCGAAAAATCAACCACATGGCAATATGGGAGACCTTCCAAGTGAGAAGAATATGATCAAAGGGGCAAGAAAAGTACCAACACCTTAAAGATGGTATCAGTGATAAGGTAGAGACTATCATCACTTTGGTCATTTATTGATAAAGATGAAGTTAGTGTATAAGTCCTTAGAAATCATGGAAAAATAATAATAAATCTGATATTACAGTCACAAATGTCAGTGTAAAGGAGGCAAGGATTTTGGTGTCAGTAGGAAAACTGGAGGAAGGGCAGTTGAGGGAGGAAGTAAAGAAAAGGGGAAACTGGTTTATTAGGATTTTCCAGCCTCCTAAAGATGCAGAAGGGAACTGTTGAGTAAGTAGGAATGGGACTGCAAAAGATTAGAATATAAAAAGATGAAAGTTTTTCTAGAAACTACTTAGATAACAGGGGAAAAAACAAAGTTTAAAGATAAGCAGTTATTTGGGAAATGGGTTGGGCAAAGTCTTCAAAGAAGTACTAAACAAGCAAAGGAGGTCAACTTTTAATCTCCAGAAAATCAAAGATTTTCAAAGTCAGAAGAAAACTTTATAATAATACAGTCTAACTTCTTCCCCAAATATGGGTATTTCCTATGACACATGATCATCTGCCTATTAAAGTGAAAATATCATGAAATATTGAGTCAGCAGGCTTAGGAAATATCCTGATTCTACCAGTGACACGCTGCAGGAGATCTTGGACAAATCAAAATCTCTTAATATCTTCATTTGAAAAACACAAGTACCACCTACCCTGGGGCTATGATTAAATTACAGTTTGTCAAAATGTTCCTTGTGAGATGTAAAATGCTCACAAAAAATTCACCTGTAATACCTACCATTTAAACAGGGCTTCAGTTTTGAAAAAGCCATTTTATTTCCAGAAATCGCCTCTTAGAGAGTTGTTTTGTATCCAACCTAAATCTACTTCCCCAACTTCTACCCTCTGGCCGTTTCTTCCAACTACTGTAGCCACACACAGTATCTTCCCTCCTCAAGGAATTCTCTTTGGTGTCAACTGTCCCTCAAAGGATAGCCTTTTTCAGATCTTTCTCCCCTGAGGCTACCCTCTTCCGGAAGTATTTCACGATATCAATGTTTCTTTTAAAACAGAGCAAACAAAATTAAAAACTATTCTAAACGTCATATGAGTAAGTTCTGAAGAGTACCACTTTCATCTGTTCTGGCTGCTTTCTTTTTATTGAGAAACAGAGACCAAGGCTTTGAGTCAGACAAATGAAGTCTGAAATTATAAATTGTGCCCTTGAGCAAATCAAATTCTTTCAACCTTTTCAGACTCATTTCATCTATAAAATCTACTGGGATTGTTGTGAAGCACCTAACAGTAAGCCTAACAGAAAAGTATTACTGATGACTACTAACTTTATTCTGTTAGTACAAGCTAATATTGCCTATATTTCTAAAAAGAACCTAACATATTCTTATCTTCTTGTTATATAAACCAAATCTAGTCAAGTGGCTAGTTTTTTTCTTAGCTATTATGTGTATTTTACCATAACTTTATTTTCTAAAACTAAGTAGATTTTAAGCATCAGTGATATGCCAGGTGCTGTATCATAAACTGAAAATACAGTGGAGTAAGAATAGTTACAATAGGGTAACAAATGTGTTCTCATAGAGCAGTGCAGAGTGATTTAGAAGAGGCATCTAACCTTGACTTGGGCAGGACAAGAGTGACTTAGAGGAGGCTAAGCTGAAACTTGAAAGATGAGGAGGCATTAGAGTATACAGTATAACTTTCTTACAGATGCTTTAAATCTCCTAGGGTTCATGAAGGTGTTCTAGAATGTTCATGAGGCAATAATAGTATCTGTTCTGATTTTTAAAAACAGGTGTTTACATTTTTTCCCTTTTAAACAACAACAAGAGCCTCCAAATGTATGAGCAATAATTAGTGGAAATCAAATGAGTTTGTTCATGATTCAGCTGCCTTGTGGATTTATCACTCAGCTGGATAATCCTAGCCACCATAGGAAACTGATGATTCTACAGTTTTAAACTTTATTTTTAGGCATATATTGTTTAATTTATGCCAAAGGCAGCAGGCATTAAAGAGCAGTGATATCAAAGTAATAAGTGAACCAAGAGCCTAAGTGATAATTCTATAAATTCACTTAAATATGCTTTTCACCAGATCCACAAATTTCCATTCATCTGATTAATATTCTTATAACAAATCAAGATGATTCTACTTTTTAAAAAGTCAGTGTTTACAACAGCCAAGATATGGAAGCGACCTAAACGCCCATCAATAGATGAATAGGTAAAGATGTGGTATATAAATATAATGGGAATATTTCCCAGTTGTAAAAAAGAATGAAATCTTGCCATTT